CACCGAACGTGTCCCCCCCGCCCCATATAGATTCCTGTTAGACTAGCTGGCTGCTGTGACCCGCTGGATCCAGGGCTAAGGAGAGGGATTGGTTTTGCCCAACGTCTCCCCGGATGCCCCTGCCAACATGGACCACCCGCTGTTTCTGGGAGGTCAACACACAAGATCGGAAGTTCGCCCCTTACTTCTTAGCCCCCTGGCTAAAAGACAAAGCCTCTTGGTTGGGATTCTGGGGAGCTCCTGTTAACCGGCCATGGGTTTTGTGTCTATTCAGAGGACAGAACGACACCAGCCCAGGATGGGTTTGATGCCACCCGATGCCGAGTGTCTGTCTATACGTTTGTGTCGCCGTCGTCCGCCACCGAGCACCCCGCGGAGAACTTGAGGAAGATGGCAATAGAGCGGGAATCCTCGGAAGAAGTGGAAATCTACACCTGGAAGCTCGTCAAAGGTGAGCCCCCCCCCGCCTGCCACGACCTTGTGAAAACAGAAGAATGTTTGTTATCAGCCGTCAAGTTGCATGCAATTTATGGAGACCCCAACAGCCGTTTTTCAAGTTTATGTGAAATATTTAAGGGGTGGTTTCCCACTCTCACCTCCCCTCGGTGAGTTTTTGTGGTCAAACAGGGATTTGACCCAGGTCTCCAGAGTCCTAAACCTTCATCCATCCACTCCATCACACTGACTCTCCTGGTAGGATTAATCATGTCTCATTTTTAGCTAAGGTTGAGCCCTAAAGGCTATTTATTTGTGCATTTTTCAAAAACATAACCTTGCCTTTTCATGGAATTGTTCTGAAGGTAGTGTCTGTGGTGCTCAAATCTCCCTGAGGAGCGTACGGCATTTGGGCAGGGAGTTCCACAGGCCAGGCCACAAATCTACCACTTTGTAGTGAGGTAAGTCCCCAAGCCTCAGCAGTGCATAGCCTATGTGCTTTGAACAAGCCTGACCCTCAAATAACACTTTACTCAATACTTTTGCAAGTACTTCAACATGGGCATTGTGTTTCCTTAGAACTCACAACTGCTCATTTAAATAGGACTTCTCTATGTAGCTAATCAATTACCTTTTCCACTCTTCTGGATTTAGCCAAACCTTGCTGGTCCAAGAGACTCATCTTCAATTAGGATTTTTATAGTTTTTTTAAATTAAAAATATAGTTTCATATGTTTCCTTAAGCATAGCATAAAGACATGTTCAAAAGTTGCAATAGTTAAATAAAGCAACCCATTAAAATAATAAACACTAAAAAGCTGAACTAAGATGGGCTAGCCCCACCTCCTTCTTTTTTGTTGTTTTGTTGTTGTTTAGTTGTTAAGTCCTATCCGACTCTTCGTGACCCCATGAACCAGAGCACGCCAAGCCCTCCACGGCCTCCCGGAGTTGTGTCAAATTCATGTTGGTCATTTCAATGACACTGTCCATCCATCTTGTCCTCTATCATCCCCTTCTCCACTTGCCCTTACACTTTCTCCTGTTTGATCACATCCAACTTGCCAAGGTTCATAGATCTTACATTCAAGGTTCCTATGCAGTATTATTCTTTTCAGCATCAAACTTTCCTTTCACTTCCATGCACGTCCGCAGCTGAGCATCCTTTCGGCTTTGGCCCAACCACTTCATTAGCTCTGGAGCTACTTGTACTTGTCCTCCGCTCTTCCTCAGTAGCATGTTGGACGCCTTCTGACCTGAGGGTCCCATCTTCCAGCGTCATATCTTTTAGCTTTTTGTTTCTGATCATGGGGCGTTCTTGGCAACTACTCCAGTCCAGGTGGATTGTGTTTAGTCGGAACTCTCCACTATGACCTGTCCGTCTTGGGTGTCCCTGCATGCCATAGCCCATAGCTTCTCCGAATGACTGAAGCCCCTTCGTCACGACAAGGCAATCTGTGAAGGGGCCTTCTTTCTTACCATACTACATTCTGTACCATCCAGTTACATAACACAATCCACCATGAACAACTGTTAGGAAAAAGGTTCCCTCTTACATAACCCATCGTCCATTTTTCTACATTCCTCGGACCTCCTTCTTCATGGCTGTAAACCAATTAACTCAAAGAGGCGTAACGGCTCCCTCCGCCTCCAGTTCTCATGGAGATGCAGGTGAGTTATCTCCATTCCAATTAGACAGGAATTTTGTTGGGTTTCTGCATTGGGGCCTCTTCAACCTTGCCCTCTTATCAGGCTTCACTCTGTACCAGCCTGGCTGTAAATTAAGAAAAAACAGCCTCTCAGCCTTTTCCACATTCCCATTTCTTCAGCTCCTTTCACTTTGAAAACGTAACTGACTCCATTTTCTCTTATCCTCTTTGACTACAAGTCCCACTCTCCTTCAAGATCATCACTGTGTCTACTAATACAACCCCAATCTTCTAGACCTCTAGGTCACAAGACCAAAGATCATAAATAACATGGACTTTTTTTGGGCCACAACTTCAAGAATTTCTGAGGCAGCCAGAGCCATTGGGGGAACTGGGAGTTGTAGTTGAAAAAAAGTCAGTCTCCGAGCTGTACACACAACCTTAGTAGCTCTAACACTTTTGAGGGCTCGACAAGGCTAGAACATGCTTATCTTCCACTCCACCATCTCAGAATGGCTGTCTGAATGTTGCTTTCAAGAGATAGATGGAAAAAAACATATACCTGCTCCTCCTTCAGCCTACGAAGAGTTTTCTGTTGCACCGGTTAAACTGCAGTACTGCAGTCAAAACTCTGCTCACTTCCTGAGTTTGATCCCAACCCACTCAGGTATAGTGGTACCTCGACTTACAAACTTAATCCATTTTGAAACGACGTTCGTACATCAAAAAGTTCGTAAGTCGAAGTACCACTTCCCATTGAAATGCATGGGAATGGAAATAATCCATTCCAGCATTTCAAAAGGCAAAAAGGCAGGGGGAAAGGGCTGGAAATTCCAATTTCCCACCCTTTCTCCCTGCCTTTTTGGCTTCCCTCAAAGGGCTTCCTCCGATGTTGGGGGGGAAAGCCCTTTGAGAGCTCCGAAGGTGCTGATCGCGGCAGCGATGACCCCCCAGGGAGGTCTCCAAGGGCTTGCTTGCCACCATGGGAGACTTCCCTGGGGGTCCCTGCCACCACAATCAGTGCATTTGGAGCTCTCAAAGGGCTTTCCCCCCGACATCGGAGGAAGCCCTTTGAGACATCGGAAGCCAAAAAAGGCAGAGAGAAAGAGTTGAGAGCTCCGAAGGTGCTGATCGCGGCAGCGATGACCCCCCAGGGAGGTCTCCAAGGGCTTGCTTGCCACCATGGGAGACTTCCCTGGGGGTCCCTGCCACCACAATCAGTGCATTTGGAGCTCTCAAAGGGCTTTCCCCCCGACATCGGAGGAAGCCCTTTGAGACATCGGAAGCCAAAAAAGGCAGAGAGAAAGAGTGGGAAATTCAAATTTTCAGCCCTTTCTCCCTGCCTTTTTGCAGGGAGCCATTTACGGACGGCTCCGTTCGCAAAAAAATGGTATTGACTTGCGAACGGAGCCTTGACCTCGTTCGGAGGTCGAGCTCCATTCGCAAGTCGATGCCAATTTTTGCCAATGGAGCTGTTCGTACATCGAAAAGTTCGTATATAGGGAAATTTGTAAGTCGAGGGTTGACTGTAGTTGGCTCAAGATTGACTCAACCTTCCCTCCTTCCAAGGTCGATAAATTGAGTGCCCAGCTCACGGGTGGGGTGGAGGACTGAGCAATGTGTTGCCTGTCTAATTAAATTGTAAACTGACCAGAGAGTGCTTTAAGCGCTATGAGGCAGCATCTAAACAAAACAAGCAAGCAAATAAATAAATAGATGCTATCAATAGATTTTTAAAAATAAAAACAGCTGGAAAGGAAAGCCGAAAATGATCACAACAAGTTATTGCAGTGAGAGATGCCAAGCTAATGATTAAAATAACAAATCTTGAATATGTTGCTGGGGAAAAAAATTAATGAATGAGCATAACGCATTGACTGTTAAGTAAATTATTTCCAAACTCTTGTTTAATCTTTGAGGATCTGGTTTATGTACACACTTCCCACGGCTGGCAGTGAATTAGCTACAGAAATTACTGTGAGGGATGGTGATGTTATGACTGCCAGCGCTCGACAAAACTATTGCTAATAATATAAACATCCTGGAGATCTTTAACACATCATATGCGCCTTTTATCCAATACAAACTTGGGTTGAGCTGTTCATCAGTGTGAAGTATGCTTGAACTTCCTTCCCTTTATAAAGCCATAAAAAGAAACATTTGACTAAGGAAGGGTCGCGTTGTTCATGCAGTCACTGTCAACATTTTATCAGCCTTGATCAGACTTGTTGAAAAGTTCTGAATTTTGGTTAAATTTTCTCTAGCTGCACCGCAGAAGTCATTCTCCAGAGCCGTCCACCCCGTTCCTCATTAACAGGCACTCACAATCTCAATAGCTCATTCTCAGCATTGGTAGGAGAAAGAATAAAAAGGTTTCATTACTTACAAATCAACAGATGAAACAGCACACTGACAAACACGAACGAATAAAAAGGTTTCATTACTTACAAATCAGCAGATGAAACAGCACACTGACAAACACAAACACTTTCAGCAACAGATTTCAACAGACTTAAAAGAGAGGGAAAAACAGACACAGAGCATTACTCACCAACTGAGTCTTTCAGATGAACCGCAGCAGTGTGTTTGAGGAGGAATAGAGCCAAGGGCTGGCTTAGCAGCCCCTTCAGAAGTGTGGTCAAAGATGGGGGAGCACCTGGTAACCAAACTAAACCAAACTTGTGGCAAAGAGTGAGTAACTTACCCCTGCTAGTAACCTGTCTTCCCTCCCCATACAATGAGATTTACACAGAGATTCAAGGTTGGGTAAGCAGACTTGAAAATGAAGCCCGTGTTTACCTTCCAGTGGCCAATTACAAAACCAAGCACGCTAAATGCAAGATACCTGGGTGAAGGAAATCAAATATTGTGAGACACCTCTTTGGGCATTTTGAGGATGCTCTGTTTCTAAGAACAGGCCAGTTGTATCATCTCTGCAGTGTTTGACAAGGTGTTGCATTTCAGGGGCATTGTGAAGTTTGTAGGTGGCTGGCACAGAGCACAGACAAGGGTCACGGGGCCCTTTCACAGGCATCGCCACCCGAAAAATAAACTGTCCCATGGCAAAAGGTGGTTTCGGACAGGGAGCGGGTTGGCTCTCTGAGCCCCAGGATCATAGAGTCGGAAGGGGGGGGGCATCAAGTCCAACTCCCTGTTCAAAGCAGGATCAAATCAGATACAAGCCCTGTTCAAAGCAGGATCAAATCAGATACGAGAGATGGTGGTCCAGTTTTCCCTTGAAGGCCTCCAGGGTTGGAGCCCTCACCGCCTTCTCCGAGGTCATAGGTTCCATTGTTGTACTGCTCTAACAGTTAGGAAGTGTTTTGCAGCTGCCTGGCCATTCTAGCTTGTGACCCTAGCTTTCCATCATGACCTTTGTGGACATGAATGCCCGGCTCCTCTTTTTCATTTCCATGCAAAAAGTGATGACTGTCCTTCAGTTTCATGGAGATCATAATAATTCTGGACAGTTTGGCCAAGCTGTCTCAAGGACTGTGTCTCCCTTTGTGAGCCTGCTCAGGTGTTAAGATCATCAGGGGAAGCCTTTCTCTTGGTCTCTCGATCTTCACAGGTGTGTTTGGTGGGGACACAGGAGAGAGCCTTCTCTGTCAGTGCTCCCAGACTTTGGAACCCCCTGCCACTGGAGGCCAGGCTGGTTCCATCTTTGCTGTCCTTCTGCAAGCGGGCAAAGATCTTTCTCTTCAGGCAAGGCTCTCTCTCAATGACTGGCCGTCTGAGTGCGTTGTTTAAATGGATGGTTGTGCCTTGCTGATTTGAATGTGTTTTGATGTTGCTTACTGTATGTTTACCATTTTTTAGTATGGCCTTTTTTTATCCTTTATGGTATCTGTACACTCACTGTTGAATGTGTTTTGATGTTGCTTATGTTTACCATTTTTTAGTATGGCCTTTGTTTATGGTATCCGTATACTCACCGTTGTTAGGTTTAAATACTGTCTTTTAACATTGTAAGCCACCTTGGGCTGGTTTGCTTTTTAAGGAGAAAAGCAGGTTAAAAGATCATTTAAATAAATAAATAGTAAATAAATATGTATTCTAAAGTCTGATTTACATCTATTTCCTAGGAATATTTCATCTGATTCAGATCCAGAAGGTGAAGAAGCAGGAATTCAGGCAAGAAGTACAAAACTTTCGGCTGGTTTCCAGGACAAACGAAGGTACACTTTATGCAACGGAATCATTTTGGAATTGGTGTCACGGGGTGTGTGTGTGTCCTGTCCATTTCGGACTGTGCTAATACGCGGGTCCCTTCCAGATGAGGGTCAGTAAATATGCTTTTATTTCTACGGGAAGAAACCACCGATACTTATTACAAACCGATTTTAATGTTCGTTTTTCTCCCCCTCTGCAACAAGAAAGATGAGCTAAAATTCCAGGGCCAGGTTGGAGAAACCCGTAGTTGTAAAACAGGATAAAATGCACAGGCCAGCAACCTGGAACATTTTCTGCATTTTTAACTGATGAGGTTTTTGCCACCAACTTTCTGGTATAGTGGTTAAAATTATTAAGAACCCAGAAGCGGCTTGCAAAAATAAACATGTGGTTAAAGTCCAACTGGGAGTTTGCCACCCCAGATTCAGTTGGTGGGGGGCATGCAGTGTAAAATAATCCCTGAGAATATAGAAAAATTTTGGAATATAGAATATAGGAAACCTAACACATTGGGAGGCCCTCTGCTCATAAAAGCATGTGAATGCGGTGAGAGAGATTCGCAAAATGATGATGAAAGCACACACAGAGCATTTTGGATCGTTCTTCCAACATTAAAACATGACAACGACACTCGCTGCTGATAGATCTGGAACCAAGGGGACAGAATGAATTTGCTTCTATGGGTTAGCTGTGTTCATTCGTTATAGGAGAAACAAGCCCCTCTTACACTAAAAGTGACCCCCCCCCCAAAAAAAGAAAGTATTTGTGCAATCCATCCATAGAAGCAAAGTTCTGGTTTGGGAACTAGCTTTATTGGCTGGCTAACTCTGGACTGCCAGAAAGGCGAACCAGTGGGTCCTAGATCAAATCAAGCCTGAACTCTTTCTGGAGGTGAAAATGTTGAAACCAAAGCTATCCTGCTCGGCGCACCTCCTGAGAAGGCAAGATTATCTCTGAAAAAGGCAATCATACTGGGAAAGTTGAAAGGCAGCAGGGAAAGAGGAAGATCCAATACAAGATGGACTGGCTCCCTAAAGGAAGCCACTGTCTTAATTTACAAGAGCTGAGCAGGGGCTGTTGAGGGCAGGACATTTTGGGCATTTCCTCGGAGTCTTTGTCGGGGGGGGGAGTAAACTTATAGAAAGCTGATTCATATTGGGAGCCCCGTGACATAGTGGATAAATGAAACAGTACTGCAGTCAAGACTCTGCTCACGACCGGAGTTTGATCCCAAAGGTCCAGAAAGTAACTTTTCCAAGTAATGCCAGTCTATATTGTGAGTAGGGCCAACTGAGAATCAGAAGGTTTTCTGCTGTACCTTCTGAGGTTGCCTTTGCCAACCGACAGAGAGGACACCAGCTTCAGGGTCCAACATGATGGTACAGTTAGCATGTCACTAAAAGTGGAGCTCATTTAAGAAGGAAAAGGCAGTCGTTTGGCCCTGTATGAATTTTCCTCGCTCTAGATGTTGCACATTAGCTAGCTTTAGTTTTGTGATTGGTATTTGGAAGATATACATTGCAAATCTGTTTGCTCAGACATGGAGCTCTGAAGGAATTGAGTGGCTGGAGGGAAAACATGGTCAGGGTCAGAAAAGACTAATTTATAATAATCTGTATTGTAATGTGAAGGCAAGTTCCCACGAACATGTATAGACTCCTCTTGCCTAAGTGGGAGAGGTTGAAGGATTTGCTCACAGACCTGAAGAGTAAACTCTGCAAGATGTCCAACCTTTTTCAGGGTAGTATGCCTTCAGAAATGCCTGCAAACATCTGCCACCAAAACTCTGCAAGATGTCCAACCTTTTTCAGAGTAGTATGCCTTCAGAAATGCCTCTGGATTGATTCCCGTGTGACTCGCTCAGCATCCCGAGACAGGTGACAGAAAAGAATGCAAGGCAGAGTATTTTAAACAAACCATACTTTGCAAACTTAACTAGAGCACATCATGGGCTCTGCGTTGTCCATTATGTTTCCACCCACTACTGTATTTCCATCTCAGTGAATACAGACGAACAAAGGGTTATGACTTCCTCCCTCCTGCTCAGCATCCCGAGACAGGTGACAGAAAAGAATGCAAGGCAGAGTATTTTAAACAAACCATACTTTGCAAACTTAACTAGAGCACATCATGGGCTCTGCGTTGTCCATTATGTTTCCACCCACTATTTCCATCTCAGTGAATACAGACGGACAAAGGGTTATGACTTCCTCCCTCCCCATAGAGAAAAACGTGTGCCTTTCTCAAATCTCTAGCGATCAGTAGCATCTCGCATGTCATCCATGTGGCATTCTGGGAAAAGACGGTGCGTCACCCGTCTCCAAACATTATAAATAGCTACCGTCACATTCCTGAAAATCTGCGAATAGTATTACCAGAAATTGCAAAGGCAGGATTTACTTTCCTGCACAAGAAAAATAGACAATCACAGTTGTTTAATATTTTCTCAGGCAGTGGTTATTGTAACATTTATTCTTGCATCTAACTTATAAAAGAGACAGCTTCGCATGTCTTTCCGGCTTTTATAACCTGCGTTCCCCATAAACCCAGGGAAATTTATATGGGGATTTGTAAAGGTTCTACTGTCCAAACTCTGACCAGAAGCTGGACCTTCTCAGCTTCAGTAAAATAACCGCAGACAACCCTTCCTTGTTGTGTATAGATGGCCAATAATGCACAGCACATGAAGAAAGACCATAGGAAAACTAGATGAGGCACCAGCTTTGCAATTAGAAGGGGATAAAACCTTTTCCCTCGAAAGAGACCAATCTTCAAAACTGCCATCTTTGTCCAGCCAGCATACTGTACTTGTGCTCTCCCAAGGCCTGTCACCAAACGAAAGAAAGATAATTTTCAACTTTTGGAGCTGACGGACATCATGGCAGGAGAATGAAATAAATATAGCTCCTTAAGGAAGTGCTTTCAGGATAGCTCAGTCGGGTCTCTGGCCGTGGAGCAAGAGTTCGATTCCCCACTGCCCCTCCTGGGAGAATAGCCAGCCTGGGTAGCCTTAGGCCAGTGGCACAATTCCAGAGAACCCCCGGAAGACGGAAACAGCCAACCACTTCTGAGTATTCTTTACCTGGGGAGGAAAGCAAAAGGAAATACATGTGGTTAGCTCTATGGTTTCAGCATCTGGCTGAAGAGCTGGAAGTTGGGAGTTCGATTCCCACCATTCAGAACAAACCTATCCGTTCGGAAGGAAATCAAGCCTGAGTGCTCACTGGAAGGACAGATCCTGAAGCTGAGGCTCCAATCCTTTGGCCATCTCATGAGAAGAGAAGACTCTCTGGAAAAGACCCTGATGTTGGGAAATTGTGAAGGCAAGAGGAGAAGGGGGACGACGGAGGACGAGATGGTTGGACAATGTCATCGAAGCGACCAACTCCGGGAGGCAGTGGAAGACAGGAGGGCCTGGCGTGCTCTGGTCCATGAGGTCACGAAGAGTCGGACACGACTTAACAATTAAATAACAACAATAAAAAATAGTGCCACAATCTGTGTGTGTGTATGTTTTGCAAAAGGAGATTTCTTTGGTCTAAAGAACCAGATTGTCCTTCAGAAAAGCTCCTATGGCAGTAATTTATTTTTCTCTAGGACCACAGCATCCTAGTGCTATGGGGAGGGGGGAAGGGCTCCTATCCTATAAATAGTTTATATTGCCCTTATACTGTATGTTTCACAGGAATAATGTGTTGTGACTGACCGCTCATCCCTTTTCCATCTCCTCCTAGTTTACTGGAAGATGTTCTTGGTTCAAGGGCAAGAAGTGAAGGCGACTGAAAGTCCAGGAAAAGAAACAAAGAATTTGTAAAAAAAGAAGACGAGAGATTGAAAGATTGAGAGAGAGAGAGAGAGAGAGAGATGTATATTTGATATTAATATATACGGGAAAAGTTGCATTATTCAATAAACCATCACGTCATTTATGGAGAAGACAATCCACTGCAACAGCTTTATAAGAAATCTAGCCAAGCCACCCAGCTGTGCCGATGGTGATGATGACAAAGTGGCCACTGCAGCTTTCATCCTGCGAATCCGTCTTCTGGATTCTGCAAGAGCCAATGGATTCTGCATCTGTCAGCTTCTTACAGGGGGGGAAGGGGAGCTGAGATTGGAAAAAAGAGACCCTGTGTTCTTAGAGGGCTACGATCAAAATAAATCTGTGGAAAGGGATTTATTGCACTTTTAGGCCAGTGCTTCTCTGAACTGATTGCATGATGCCAAAAAAGAAGGTTAACTCCAGCAGGAAATCACTGGCAATCAAAACAACATTCATCTGAGTATCAAGGTATAAATCTTCTCACTGTTGCAATAATTCCAGGCAATATCACTTGGTCTGTTCCTACAAGTTTTATTTCTCTATATTGTTTCTCTCTGTATTGTTCCATTTCCTCAACATACTTCTAAGATGCAAGCATTCCAAGCTTTTACAGCTATGTCGAAACTGAATACAGTATTTAAAAATATATGAAAACAAAACAATTTGCAGACCAATAATTAAGTCAAAATTCAATCCAAAACACAGTAAAAATAATCTTTTAAGAGTTAAAAATAAGAACACTGAGAAAGGTTTGATTGACTTCTAAGAATGTAGGAGGCTGTAACCTGTTGTTGTTTAGTCATCAAGTCGTGTCCGACTCTTCGTGACCCCCATGGACCAGAGCACGCCAGGCCCTCATGTCTTCCACCGCCTCCCGGAGGTGGGTTCAAATTCGTGGTCTCTGTATCTCTCATCATTATCTACTGTATTAGAACGCTCGCTCGAGGGAGAGGCGTCTTCAGAAAATCTCTTCCGTCCGTTGTCAGCTAGAGGGGCAACGCGCCAACCGTCTCCATTTGCAGCCCCCGGAAAGCAGCTTTGCCAGTTTCACAGACTGGCATATGTATTTCCACCTATTTTAACTGAGGAATGGTTTCTAATAAATGTATTTATTGGAAGAGGCACATCTTTGTCTAGCCGACTGGAGTAAAATGGCTTCTGATACCAAACATCTTTCTCTGGCTCCTTTTCTTTTTTTAAAAAAAGTGTCTCTCTGTTGATCACATCCTGGCATCGCATTTCTGCCCCGCAACCACTCAAGGTCTGGCTCACGGGTTCCTGCCAACCTTTCTTAAACCAGCCGGCAGATCACGGTCCTGCCTTCCTTCTGCCTTCCTTCTCCTGCCTTGCCCCCACAGCCACCCTTGCCTTCTGTTGGAGCAGCAGAACTCAACAGCACGTCCTGTGACTCCGATCCCCATCCCTGATGTATACTTATGGGATGGAGCATGGTTACCCTTCAGAGAGCAAGCTCCGTCGATTCTAGTTCTCGTCCCATGCGTTGGACTACAATTCCCAGGCTCCCCCAGTCGGCAAAGCGGGTTGGGAGATCCTCAGAGCTGTATTATTTAAATCCGAAGGGCAACTTCTGGGCGTAGGTGGGGTCCTACCCCCTGCCTTAACCCTACAGAAGAAGGGCAGGGATTTGGAGGGAAGGGGGCCATTTCCCCTATTCCAGTCTGCCTGGAGAGTGGACAGAGATCCTCAAATGGCGCATGGCTCCAACACGGAATTGCCCTGGCCAATGTCTTCTTTTCCATATAAAGGCACCATTGTCTTTTATCTTCTGCATTTTTCATTCCCACATCTCTGCTCCCCTTTGTCCTTCCTTCCTGCTTGCAAACAGCCAGGGTCTCTGTCTCCTGGGCTTTGGAACTAGCCGATCATATTACTACGATCTGCTTTTTATTTTCCCTGGTCCCACCATGGGACGCTGGGCTCAGCGAGAACTGCCTTGGACATTTTTAACTCCCCCAGTAAAACCCACTTTCCTTCGCCGTGTGGCCTTTGTCTTAGGTGAGGGATCTACTCATGGATGCGGCCAGTGAATCACAGAACCCACAGGCTCTTCATAAAAGCAGAATGAGCCCTGTAAGTGCTTGGCGGGCTGACAGATGCATAGCTCACTAGGCTCTGCAGGGAGAATTTAAAGCCACATCAGGGTTTTAACGGCTGGAAAGGTGCTCAGGTATTTTACTCAAGACTGGAATGATGCCTTTGGTAAAGGATGCAAGCAAGGTCAGGGGGAAAATGTTACCGCAGTGAGGGAAAAATGGGGTGACGTTTGATCTTTCTATGGGGTTTGCATGTCATCTTGATAAGAAATAGAAACACCAAGTGGAAAGTGGAACAAGTAGGGTTTCTGCTGCTCCAAAAGGCCAAAGACCAGGGTTGGAATGAATTAGTTCAAATTATGAGAAAAGTGGATCCTGGCTGCAGCTGAGGATGAACTTGCTAACAATAAGAGCAGTATGGAATAGTCTACCTGGGAAGATGGTGGATTGCTGGTGTTTGTTAGACAATTTTAAATGGTGGTTGGTTGGCCATCTGTCAAGGATGCTTTATTTTATTTATTTATTTATTGCATTTATACCCTGCCTATCTAGTAATTTCGGTTGGTTGGTTGGTTGGTTGGTTGGTTGGTTGGTTGGTTGCCCCATGGGGGAACCAAGGCGGCTTGCAACAAGTAAAGCAACAGATTTAAAAATACAATACTATGTAAATATTGTATTTTAAAAACAGTTAAACATCTCATAAGATTAAAAGTCAAGCTTAAAAACAATTCAAAAACATTTAAAAACCTGCCGGTTCAAAACCAGCGTTCCTGAGATAACGGACTGCTTAAAAGCCTGCCTGAAGAGGAAAGTCTTAGCCTGAGGAAAGAATGATAAGAGGGACCGGGAGGGGGGCAACCTGGCTTCTCAGGGCAGCTCATTCCAAAGCCTTTGGGGCCACCACGGAGAAGGCCCTCTCTCGTGTCCTCGCCAAGTGACCTTGGGAAGATGGTGGAACCGAGAGAAGGGCCACCTCGGAAGATCTTAAAAGCCGAGAAGGCTCATATGAGGTGATACAGTTCTTCGGATGGCTTGGACTCAGGTCTTATCCCTGGGCGTCCCTTCCATCTCCCCACCTCTAGCATCTGGTGATTCCGCCGTGGGTCCGACCATCTTAAGGGGTCAGTGAGTTTCCAAGAGGTCCCAGGGACACTCTGCTCGGTGACTGGACAGGTTGACAAAAGTGACGCGCTCTTCAGGTTGTCCGTTCCTGACATCTTCCGCCTGAGGCAACCACCTCACGCTGTCCAGCAGGAGAGCCAGCGCGCGCTCTGTGGCTTCTCATCTTCCAGGGTCCACATGATGCAGACTAGGATTGTAAGCAGTTTTTTGGAAGTGAAAGCTTGGGTTGAACCGTTGACTGTACGTAGAGCTTGCTGATCGACCGACTGATAGATTGATGATGACGACGACCGCTGAGGATGCTAATAACACAGAGTGAAAAATCCACCGAGCTTGGGGGAAAATTTTGGTGTGGGAAGTGAAGTGGAGGCTGTATCTCCCAGAATCCCCCCTGCCGGCATGACCAGCTCTGGAATCTACCAGGCCAGGTTTCACACACCCTTGAGAGACCTTCTCTGGGTCTTTCACATGACCTAGTTGTTGTTTTTTTGCCAACGCCAGGAGCGCCAGTAAGAGTTTTCCAGCTTTACAAGCAGAACCACAGATTCCTTGAGGTTGTTCTGGGAAGTTTTACGGAAGGTTCTGGAGCATTTGGAAAAGCTTCTAATTCTGGAGTCATAAGTCATTTTTTGCGGTGATTTTTCTTCACCCAGCATGGCTCGTGATCAAAAACTCCTGCCGCAGTCTGAGTTACGGCTCTGTTTGCACATGCAACGTTATCTTAAGTGCCATCTGACAATTTTTTTCCAGTAAACTTCAGGGATGAGCCTTGTGCTTCACAACGCACAACACATAGCAACAGCGACAACAACCGCAACCCAGAGAAGGACGCTGTCTAGGCAAGTTTTTCTTTCACCTGTTCTTATAAATAATGGATCTCTCAGTGCGAGCAGCTCATAGTTGGGGAAATAAACAACACAACAACGACAGGTGACAAAACATGGAAGCAATACATTGCTATAAAACATCTCCCATTTACCTTAGTGCAGGACCTAACAGTGTCTCCCAGAACCACCGCCTGGGAAAGTTACTTTTTCAGACTAAACTTCCCGGAACTGGAGAATATGGAATATGAAATTCAATTTCCGGAAGCTTTGATGCTACTTTGCAGGTATCTGGGAAGCTGACCAAACAGCAGTGGTCAGTGCGTGTCCAGAACAAAAGGACAATTCAAACGTTCACTTTGTTGCAGAGTTTCATATTGCTGGTAAAATTCCTTTTTTGCTACTCAGTAGAAGTACAGAGATCCGCAGAGAGAATAGCTACACGTTCCCCGGATTCCACTCCTTTCTCATTAACTGGCACTTAATGTCTCAACTCACTCTGAGATATTTGTAGGAGAAAGAACTTTACTTACAGTTGCAAACAGATCAACAACAAGCAAAACAGCTTTCTTGGACAAACTAAAGAGAGGGAAAAGAACACTCAGCAAAGAGGCAGGGCTTTTTAATTGCAAAGTCTGGAAGAACTATTGCTTCTTCTTCGTGGCCTCTGTGAATGCACACAATTGGGATTGGGCTGTGCCTGCATAGGACTCCTCGGAATATTCTAGAGCTTAAAACATATAATTTATAGTACATTTCCCCGTGGCCCGCATGCTCCGCCCTCCTGTAATACTTCAGTTCCTTTTTGCCATCACTGCAATTGGACTTCTTCGTACCTAGAACCGTTTTTTTCTTCAATTGCCTGGTATTGATTATGATCTGGCGCATTGATTATCGTCTCTGTCTCTGGAAATTTTGATCTTGGATTGGCTATGGATTACAGTTATTGAATTCTGTTTTATATATTGTTTACCTTGGCTTTTGACCTCCGGACTGATTATCTATTAAACTAAAGAGAGGGAAAAGAACACTCAGCAAAGAGGCAGGACTTTTTAATTGCAAAGCCTGGAAGGGACTATCGCTTAGCGCTGGACTGATAGACAATCACTTCAGTCCAGAGACGTCCCTCCCAGTCACACAAACTATAGGCAGCATGCAAGACTGCAAACAAAATCCCAGCATAATTTACCTCTTGTTAATTAACACTTCAAAGAAAAGAGTGGGAAGGAAACTGGTGTTTCCACGGCATATCAAAGCCTTCCCAAACGGGAATCTAATGCTTTCACTTTAACTCTTGACTCCACAAAGCCAGTCTGCTTACTTTCCCTGGGAGCTATGCAGATTGTAGCTATGAGAAAGGAAAAAGGGGAGGAAGATGCTTTTGCTTTGAGAGAGGATTAAAGGGGGATTAAGGTGTTGATTGCAACAGGGTGTGTAATAGCGCATTTATTTGTATGCAAGTGATTGCAAAACATGTTAGAGAGCATTGTTTGCCTCCCCAAAGAGGGAGCTTTTGCTCAACTACTTTTCAACAAAGCCATAGGAGAGATGCACTCTGCGTATGCCCCAGATCCAAGCCACCTCTCTGCTCAGGTGTGAGTATTAGGTGGAAACGTTTAGTTTTTGTTGTTTTCTGGTGTGTTTCTCTTGAACTGCCCAATACTTTCCCTCCAAGTAGCTTTTCGCACCCTTTTGTAACATTTTGGATCTTTTGTCCTTTTCAACTTTTTTTCTTTCTTTCTTTCTTTAATAAAATATACAAATCCTTTCAGGCAGTTGTCTGGAGTTTTGGCCGAGAGAGTTTGTGTCACTAAAACCAGATCCTGTCTTGACCAAGCTACAGGGATTTTTTAATGTTTGTGAGTAGATGTGGAGGCAGCACTCTTCAAAGGTTGGCCTATGTTCTAAGTGCCTCGCCTTGTGGATCTTTCGAACTCGCTTCCAGAACGAAGTAAAATTTAGGAGCAATACCATCCCCATCATATTCCATTGTATTTTCTCCAGCTAGCTTATTTTTAACAGGGACTTGGACTCAGACCTGGGATTCGAACCCTGAAACTTGTCGACATGCCTGCCACATCAGAACAAGAAAGGCAGTGTGGCAAAGTGGCTATCAAGGTAGGGGAAGCTAGTCTGCGGTACTGCCACAAGTCAGGATGAAGAGAGAGCCCATCACCTTTAGTTCATTGGAGAAAATAAAAATAAATGAAGGAAATAAAGAATAAGTTATTTATTTATTTAAAATATTTCTATCCCGCTTTTCTCCCCAAAAGGACCCCAAGGCAAGCCCAATAAGGAATCATTCCCCCAGGCACTGTTTCACTGATTGCTTAGTAGCTATTGTGGAGAAAAGGAATCCAAAGGGAAAGTTTGTGTGGGAAAGAATGAGACACATCCACAAATTCCATTCTGCCACCACGGGTTTGAATCAAGATCATGTTTTTTCTACTCATAATCCCACTACACAAATATAAGAGTTGGTTTTTCAAAATAAGTTTTGAGTGCGGCGAAATGTTCATTAATCTAAAGATGCAACAGGACGCTGTAATTCCAGTACATAAGAACAGAACAAGCGTTTCTTCGAAAACAGAACTCACTGTTTTTACAACCTCGAACTAATAAACTGATGAGCAGATTTGTGGGACAGAAAACAGGTGCTGGTTAATATGTTAGCTGGCTTTTTGGTTGTCAGGATCTTTCTGATAATGGTAACAGCCCAATGTTAATAGTATGATTTTTTCCCACATCTACATTTGCTCTGATTCTGTTTGCAAACATGTACGCCCTGAGGTTCTAATATCACATCTTGTCAGAGTTAACTATTGACCATAAAAGCACAGGCTAAAACATGCATCTGTTGGTCTTAGAGATGCTGCAAGATTCTTGGTTCTTTTGATGGAGTAGTCTTAGGGTGCAACGAGACATGGAAGCCGTCCTGTGTTGATCTGACATTTCTGGTGGCAGGTGTATCACTCCTGTTGTTCACCTAGGATATTTAATTGCCCTTGGCAATACTGGGGGCCACAACGCACCTCATATCCCTGCAGTTCTCACTGAGATCACAGGTCGCCCACCCTCCTCTGTTACCTTATTCTTATTTTTAAATTGTATATATTTAAAAAAATTGTCTCTGTCCAGTGTACAGTCAGGTGCACACTGTCCCAGGGATGCCTCCAGAAGAAAGGATGGGTAAACCATTGCTATATGGTTGTGTTGCAGTTGCAGCATTTATTTTTTATTCTAGGATTTTGAAGATTGCACACATGGAGAGGATTCTTCTAGGTATTGGACACCCAACCCAGTTGAGGAAGATGTCTTGGATTCTTATCTAAATCTGAATTCAAAGGGACACTGGAACTTTGCAATTCTATCGGCAAGATCTGTATCAGTGTTGTGACCTAGGACTTTGGTGTGCAAATTGCAGCATTTTGCAATTGCTCACATGGTCTGCTCTATAACTGTGAATAAGAAGAGACTCATTTTGCAAGGTTTCTCGATAGATATCTAAGTAAGCAAGTAACCCTGTAGAACTTTAAAAGTGTTGCACAGGAACATGTGGCAACCACATGAGCGATGTAACACAGAGGAAGGCTTACTGCCTCTGTGGAAGAGGCCAGAGGCCACAATTGAATAGGTAGGTTTAAAAATCATGCTTTATCCATGAGACGCATGACTTAGGAAGAGCCAAAAATCTGCCTTCTACTAGTTTTTTCATTCTCCTCGATCGTAAGTCTGCCCAGTTACCGAAGAGACAGATGCGGCTTGGAAAGTAACCAGGATCTGGATGATCGACTTCCCTTGAGCGGGACGGAACCCGTTGCTTTGGTGCTACAGAGACCTCTGCTGGAGACCTGCGCCCAAACCCCTGTGGGTCTGAATCTCCCTTCCCAGTTTGCCTTGTGCTTCCTGGAGTAAAGCAATTCAAAGTACTGATATCATTATTGGAGGAAAATCCAATTACAGTATCTCTCTTTTTTTATCCACAGTATTTGAGTCCCTGGAGGCAAGAAAAATGAAGGAAAAAACCCAACTATACCACTATCCATGGGTCCTGGAGACCCTTACGCCCAAGAGCTCTGTTAGGGAGATGTGCCCGACTCTGACACAGAGGGATCTAGATGGGGAAAAAAGTCTAGAAATGTGCATAATAACAGGATGGGAATAGAACCATAGAATAATTATAGAATCATGGAATAACTGAGTTGGAAGGGATCTAGAATTGGAACGGATCTGAGATGGAAGGGAGTTGGAAGGGATCTAGCCGCCCCGAGTAGACGTTGTCTAGAGGGGCGGGATAAAAATCAAACCAAATCAAATCAATCAATAAATAAGGTGATCGAGTCCAATCTACTGCTCAAGGCAGATATACAATCAAAACAGATCTGCCAGGGGATTATCCAAATTTTTCTTGGATGCCTCCAGGCTTGGAGCACTCATCCAAGGGAGTTGGAAGGGATCTAGCCGCCCCGAGTAGACGTTGTCTAGAGGGGCGGGATAAAAATCAAACCAAATCAAATCAATCAATAAATAAGGTGATCGAGTCCAATCTACTGCTCAAGGCAGATATACAATCAAAACAGATCTGCCAGGGGATTATCCAAATTTTTCTTGGATGCCTCCAGGGTTGGAGCACTCATCCACTCCCCAGGTCACGGGTCCCGCTGTCGTACTGCTCTAACAGTTAAGAAGTTTTTCCTGATATTCCACAAAAACTGGCTTCTTGTCACTTGAGCCCATTGTTGTGTGTCCTGAACTCTGGGATGATTGAGAACAGATCTTGTCCTTCCTCTGCGTGACAGCCTTTCAAATATTTGAAAAGTGCTATCCTATCACTGCTCAGTCTCTTTTTCTCAAGGCTAAACATGCCCAATTCTTTCAAGCCTTTCCTCATCAGGCTTGGTTTCCATCCCCCTGATCATCATCCTTGTCGCTCTCCTCTGAACTTGTTCCAATTTGTCAGCATCCTTCTTGAAGTGTGGTGTCCAGAACTGGACACAAGACTCAAGGTGAGGCCTAACCAGTGCCAAACAGAGAGGGACCAGCCCTTCGCGGGATTTGGAAACTATACAGTACTGTACTTCTATTGATTTAGCCTAAAATTGTGTTGGCCTTTTTTGCAACCACATCACACTGTTGGCTCATATTCAACAGACAGCATGGTCATGAGAGAAGCAGTGGTGGCCGCAATGGATGTTATTTAAGACACTTTCACACGGGGTCTCCATGTTTTTCAGATAAAAACACTAAGAAGCTTGTAACGCTTCTGTTCTCATCCCAAAGATTTTTCTCCTCATATTTTAAATTTCATCATTAGGAATACTGTATAGATTTGTTGGAATTTTTCTTTTCATGTTTCTGGGAATTTTAATTTCCCTGTTTTAAATATGATCACTGGAAATATAGATTTCCGGGAATGTTTCTTTTCCTATTTTAAATGTTTTCACACCCGTGGATAAGGAAACGGATCTCGCGGACACAGGGGGTCCTCCAGAACTCATGCTGGAGATCTTTAGGAGAGGCCCTGAAAATGAAGCTGCTCCTACGTCAACCCATGTCGGGCAAGGCAAAGACAGCCATTCACACGCGCGCCTTCCTGGCCCGGGTGTTTTCTCGGGGAGAAAAAAAACCCGAAAGAAAAAAGCGCGCGAAAGAAGGGAAGGCGGGAAGGGAGGAATTATTCAGGGAGGGGCGTGTCCTCCGCGGACTCCTCCTCCAACTCCTCGGATTGGCCGCCTTCTTTTACCTCAGGGGAGCTAGGGGGCGGGGCGAAGGGCAAGGCGCGGTGGGCGGGGAAAAAGCGGGCCTTTGGCCCCTCAACCGTCGGCTCATGAATATGGACGCTGTGGGCGTGGCCTAGGGGCG